AAATAAAATAAAATAAATAAAAGAAATATATCATATAAAAGAAATATATGCTATAAATGACATAGATGACATAGAAGGCATATATAATTTCTTAGGGATCGACATCATCCTTTAGATCATCATCATCCATGTCTTTTTTCATGTAATAATATTCTTAATATAAACAAAAATTCTCATATAATTTAATATAGCTAAAAACTTTATTATTAGTTAAAAAAGTAAAAAAATAATTTATATTTATATAATAAGTAATAAAAAAATCTGATTTATTATTACGTTACAAATAAGAGTAATTAATTTTTATAATTTTTTATTAAATATATAATAAATTTCTTGAATATACTTTAATAAGAAGTAGAATATCTATAATTCAGATATTAGAATATATTAAAGCATATACAAAAAAAGGAAAATTATTAGTTATATAGTTTTACTATATTATATTATACTATAAAAAGAATGTTTTTAATTTAAATTTTTATTAATTAAACTTATTTTAATTCAGAATATTAGCATAAAACTATATATTTTTATGCAGTATGACTCAAAATTTTTAAATGTCTATTACTCAGTAATTGAATTAATACTGATTAGCTTTTATAATATTTTTTAGTTAAATTTATTATAGACTTAATAATAGTCTCTATTCTTTAGTAATATAATAAATGATACAAAATATAATTAAGTAGATAATTAAGACTATTTTTATTTTTTTTATTTTATAAATTTAATAAAATTTATTATCTTTTCAATTATTTTGCTTTCAAATTTGCAAGCAATTTTATTTATTAATTACAATTACTTTTAATTATTTTTAATATTTTATTAAAAAATTAATACTTTTATAATAAATTTTATAATGTTTTCTAAGTAAAAATTTAAAAAAATGTATAGTCAACTCTTATTATAACGAACTTTATGTCTTAAATTCAATTTCGCTATAAAGCTATAGTGAAGATTTTAAGAAATTTGATTGGCTAATTTACTATAACAAGAGTATTTTATTATATGTGTTCAAAAAATTTGTTATATTAAGAGTTCGCTATATTAAGAGTTGACTGTAATTAATTAGTGATATTTTAAAGGTAAATAAATAATAAATTTTTATAACTTTAAACTCATATATTTTGCTAACTATTAATCTCAGAAATATAAAATATTACCATTTAATATGTCTTAATATGATGAATCCAATAAACTACATTTTATATTTTGTAATTATTAAATAATAAATTATTTTGAAAAATTAAAAAATTAATATATATTGATAATTAATAATTTTAAAAATTTAAAATACTACTATTAGATACATCATAGTATGATAAATCTAAAAATTTTATTTCATCTTTTTATAATTATTAGATATCAAAATATTTTAAGTTTTCTAAAATGTTTTAGAGACAATTTTATACTTAAAGTTTAAGAGATAAATAAGATTATTAAATGGAACCTGAAAGTTTTGCAAGTTATTTAAAGAATAAAAGGTTAAACTTAAAAAAACTAATATTAAAATCTTAATAAAAATCTGTAAAAGGTAAAATTATATCAAATATTGTTAAGATACCTGCAAAACTAAGATTTAGGTATATTATCAAATCCAAAATAGATTCAAATATACATATAATTTCAATTAGTATTATAAATAGTTTTGTAAATTATTATAACTATGCTGTTAATATTCAATTTAAAAAATTAGAGTTTGAGGACAAAGAAATTATTAAATTGTTCAAAGCATTTAATCTTGATTCATTATTTCCAATTATTAGAGGAGCACAGTTGTTGTATGTAGGGTAACTTACGAATCCAATACATTTTTTTTTATACTTTTAGTTGAGGATGGTAATGTATATTATATCGGACAATCATCTAGCGTACAAAATAATTAAAATAATTGCAAATTTTAATATATTGCGAAATTCTTTTTCAAAATTTATCCTAGATAAGAAAGAATTACTAACGTGCAAAAGAAATTGACTACGATATAAGATATAGAAACTTTCTATTATTATAAATTTTCCGTCTAAACCTCTACAAAACAGGCCATTGCTGGATTTGCTTATGAATCGCACAGTAATATTGTTATTGGGAATAAGGGATCTAATATTACAAAATAAAACAACAAAGAATTCTTTTTGACCATTCGTATAAAAGAATTGTGATTATTGTTATTTTCAAAAATAACCACCCGAATATTTGTTTAAAAACGTGATGACCCTTAAATTCATCTTGTACACAAATGATTTTGATTTTTCAGAAATTAAATGTACAAAAGGCGTGAGTGTTGCATATTGCATGTAAACAAATCTACTCATAAATTCAATATTTAGATGGTTTGGTTTGTTTTTTTTTATAAACAATCAAGTCTGCACGAATTACTAAAAATGTGCGATTCGATAATTTCAATTTCAAAGCCCCCTGAATGATCAATGAATCAAATCTTTTTTTCGTCATCTAATCAACCCTAAAAAAAAGAAATTTCAACGTTTCATACTTTGTGTACGCAGGTTTCAAGATTTTTCACAAGGGGAGTTAAAAAAAAAAAAAAGCTCTCGTTTCGAACTTTATTTCGAGATCATTGAAGAAAGTAACTCTAACTTGACGTCACACATTTTTGATTTTTATTTTCTTTTATTTGGTTACATTGCATGGATGGATATGAAGTACCCATGTAACTATGATTCGTGGTTAACCACATTCCGAACATGTGCAAACTTGATAACAAGTTTCTGCATCAAATCTAAATAAATGCCTCTCGGCGCAAAAAAAATAAATGACCTTCCCATAATCTTTGAGAATGTTACCATTTGACGATTATTGTGATTATTTTGGTTAAACTGATCCGTTGGTAATGATCTTTTGTTTCTTTTGTTGGGGGCTAAAAAAAAAAAGATAAACGTCGTAAGATACAAGAGAAGCTCGAATGATTATAACCAACAATACATCCGATCAGAAATCATCATCCAACAATCCTTGTTGCTAAAAAAAAATGCAAAGTTGTATGGCGTTAGCTTATGCATATCTCGAGAATTTTTTTTTTCGTGTGACAAACCTTGCATTAAACGTTATTTTTTTTTAAAAAAAAAAAAAATCATGATTTGTAACAATGCGATAAATATTTAGTAAATATTTTGTAAATATATAAAAAGGATTGAAAAATTTAGTGTCCTTTTTATTGATTCAAAATTATAATTTATCCTTATAGTATTATCGAAAAATCGAAAAAATTTTATTCAAAAATAAATAAAAGGAAAAATAATTTGAGAAATATCAACATCAATATCTTCACCTGATAAATAAATCAATTCCCTTTCAAAAAAAAAAAAAAAAAAGAAATGTCCGAAAAGTTTTACTCAACACTTTACACAAAGATGATTCATTTTCCCACGATGGTATCATGCTCAATATTGAATCTATTTAACATTCAAACTCGTTCTACTCAAATAGCCCCTCTTGATCAAAAAATCGACCGTCAAACCGCTCATGTCCAATTTTACAAATCAAATAAATCAAATATAACAAAGGAATTCGTAGGAACGTTAACATTTTTTTGCAACGGCCACGCCACGACTAACGCATCAACTAAAACCGTAGCTTATGGACAATGGCATAATATTCATGATACAAACCCATTAAATTATGAATTTGTCATATATAAAAATGGGGTTATGCATAAGGACTTGTCAGTCAATATACAAAGAGATTTGGTAATTAAAAAAAATGAAGCCAAATTATTGACCACCTTTGATGAATTAGATTTAAATGGACCACAAAGTATTGTTGGAGGATGTGTATATATAAGTGTTCGAGGTAGAGTCATTTCTAAGGCCAAAATCTGCAAAACTTGATGTTTATTCGTCAATGAGACTGATGGGAAGTTTTATATCATCGAAGGAATTGATTATGTTCTTGCACAAAATGTATTATAACTCAATTTTAATTTTTTGCATTAATAACACGTAACATTATATAAGATTTAACATGTATCATTTTAGGTCTGCGACCAAAATGATTTAATTTACCACTTGTTTATATATAAGAAAATAAAGAATAACCTTTTGTCGTTCAGATTTAATTTTAAAAATCGAATGCATTTGTTTTAAATTAAAAAGAACATTCAAAAAAAAAAAAAAACTACGGTAGCGGCTGGGTAAAGCTGCGAGACCAATAATGAATGAAAGAATTTTTGGTAAAATTATTGTCTATATATGTATTTATTTCTTTTATAAAGCTATATGAAACTAGTCTTATGAATAAAAATATTTTTATAAATCATTTGCATCATAATATCTTCATTGCGTAATCAACATATAGAAAGTTACATATCCCAACCTCGATGTTCTTTCCCTCATTGGATTTATCACAATATTAATTAATAGATTTTCAAGTAAATTTTTCACAAAAAAAAAGTTTGTCTGAATCAAAAGTGAAAGGAAAAGTTGCATTACATGCACTCATTTTTGAAATAATTGAAACACAATTATTTTGAATTGCCAAATAATAACTATTTTTAAATGAAATGTACTCATCATAAATTCATCAAATAATTAATACAATAATTTTCATAGCCCAGAAATACTGCAAGTCAACCTAAAACTTTTTTCTCCCGAATACTGCGTAGATGTTACAAGTTTCGTTCATTTTTTTAATAAATATAAGTGCGTTTTGACGGTTAAATACACGATAAAACTATCAAGACATCAGGCTGAGGGTCGAAATACCTCGGTATCCATTGACTAAGAAGAATATTTACTTATAGAATCGAGCAAAAAAATGGGTCATCAAACTGCCTTAACCTAAAACCTACCAAGCATTAACGTAATCCCAGCG